AGCTGCTGAGATGTGGTCATTCTGTATAGCTGGTGAATTACAGAAATGTAGAATCATAATGTTGGAAAAGACCGCTAAGGTCATCCAGTCCAACCACCATCCCATGCCCACCGTGCCCACTGCCCACGTCCCTCAGTGCCACATCCACACGGCTCTGGAACACCTCCAGGATGGTGACTCCACCACCTCCCTGGGCAGCCTGTGCCACTGCAGCACCACTCCTGCTGAGCAGAAATGTTTCCTAATATCCAACCTAAACCTCTCTGGATGCAACGTAAGGCCCTTTCATCCCGTTGCGGTTACGTGGGAGAAGAGGCTGACCCCCCACTTGGGTCAGAAGGGATCTCAAACACCCCCCAGTTCCAACCCCCGCTGCCGGCAGGGTTGCCAACACACAACCCAGTGTGGAATGTATGTTACGAACTGCACACCTACCCAGGGAAGAAATCCCTTTGTATCGTTTTTAACGTACCCTCGGAACTAAAACCCTGTAGGAAAAATGCATATGCTTTCCAAACCAGCTTTTTCCCTCACTTTAGTGAGTATCACAGATGTGTGCAAACACACCTGTGTGCCAGGAGGGAGCTGATTACAGCCCTGTGCAGGTGAATGGATCGACTCACAGAGCCAGACTGTGCAGTGGTGTGCAGTGGTCTTCCAGAGAGAGACCGCCAAGATGGTGAGGGGCCTCGAGCATCTCCCTTATGAGGAATGGCTGAGAGCCTTGGGACTGTTCAGCCTGGAGAGGGGAAGGCTGAGGGGGGATCTTTGCAATGCTTACAAATATGCAATGGGTGACAGAGCACTGGGACAGGCTGCCCAGAGAGGTGGTGGAGTCTGCTTCTTCAGAGATATTCACAATACATCTGGATGCTCTCCTGTGAACCTGCAGTAGGGAATGTGCTTTAGCAGGGGGTTGGACTAGATGAACCTCTTAGCCCAAGGAGGTTGTGGATGCCCCATTCCTGGAGGCATTCAAGGCCAGGCTGGATGTGGCTCTGGGCAGCCTGGTCTGGTGCTTGGCGACCCTGCACGTAGCAGGGGGTTTGAAACTCAATGATCATTGTGCTCCTTTTCAGCCCAGGCCATTCTATGATTCTGCAATGAACTCCAGAGGTCCCTTTCCAATCCCTGTGATTCCGTGGCTCTGTGAAGCCATTCCCAAGGACGCCCTGGCTCCCTGGGCACATCAGCGTTCTAAAGCTGCCAGAGGTTCCTCCAGCAATGGGAATCTGTGGGAGTAACTGGTGCCACTTTGGAAGCAAGTAGGGACTTTCCTTTCCTTTCCTTTGGGTATTTCTGTTCGCAATCACACAACTATCCTGTGCGCCCCGTTTCTTTTTAATCTGCCGGCCCTTTCTTTCTCGCTGTGTGATCCCGGTGGGGTCCCTTCCAACCCGGGACACTCCGTAACACACGCAGCAACTCGCAGCCCGCTCTCTGCCCGTCGCGGTTGGCGCGGCGGGGGCGGGTCGGGGCGGCGCTCGGGGCGGAGGGCGGGCGGCCGGGGCCGGGCTCGGGGCTGGTGCCGGCGGCGGGGGCAGCGGCAGCGGCTCGGCGCTGCATGGCGGGGCGGGCGGGGAGCCTCCAGCCTCGCGTCCGCAGGCCGCCAGCACGGCGCCGGGCAACACCGCCATGCCGGGGCACGGCCCCCCCCCGCCGCCGTCGAGGAAGGTAGGGTGGGCGGCCCCGGGGGTGCGGGCGAGCCGCCGCTGCTTCCCGCGCAGGAGATCGATCGTTTCGCGTTTTTGTTTATTTTTTTTTTCCCTTCGTCACCCGAAATGCCTTTTCTTCCCTCGGCGGTTCGCAGGAGGGGCAGGAGCCGGAGGGCCGTGCCGAAGCCCTCCACCATCTTAGCGAGGGTGGGGAAGTGAGGAGCGGGCGCTCGCTGGCCTTTGGGGGAAACCTGCTCTGATAAGTGGCCAAACCTTCTGTAGTATTAGCGATGTCCTGCTTCCTTCCATCCTCTTGACTCTGTGTACCGCTCTACTCTCCGAAGAGTAGAGCAAAAGCTCGCCTTTCTCTTGCTTTGCTCTAATTTGAGAGGAACATCCGCACCCCGCGTGCCTTTATCCCACTTGGGATCCACGAGAACATCTCAGGAGAGAAGCGCCTTCCCGCTGGGAATGGGCAGCGCTGCTGATGGGGAAGGCATGGAGCCTGGGGGCAGGCAGGCAGACTGTACTGCAAGGGACCGCCTGCTGTGGACTGGGGGGTGAGAAGCAGACTGGAATGTCCAGTGGACAAGGTGCAGCTGGGCCATGTGCGGAGGTGCTGCTCCTGGTGGAGATGGAGCTGTCTGGGAGCAGTGAGGCCTTGGGGTGCCCTGGGCTGTGCGTGAGCCCCGCAGGGGTGGGTCATAACCAGTGAGCGTGGCGTGCTTCATCATGTGCTGGTGTTTGAGTAGGGCATGATTTATTTCCAGGCCAGGTCAGCAAGCTGTACAGACCCCATTCCTGACCCAGAGGTGTTTGCTGGCACCCTTTCCCTGGCCAGGGGGCAACAGCGAGCATCTCCTGCACAGAGCTCATTTGGGGCAGTGGAGAGAAGCGGAGGGATCTCTGTGGAGCCTTTGCTCAGGCTGTGTAGATGTTGTTGGGAAGACACTGGTGGATTGTTTGTTGATGGCTACCTTATCAAATGCCCATTTCTTGATTTGTGGTAGCAAAGTCCTATAAAGCATGCTGGCTCCATTTCTGAACCGCCAGAAAGAGTCATTACTGCATCCTGCCAGAGGAGGAATGCGTTTCTTCGACCCTTGCACTGTTTCTGGGTTGTTGTCATCAGCGTAGTGTTTGTGGATTTGGGTTGTTTTTGTTTTTTAAGTAATCCAAACTGCTTCGGCATGTGGGATTGAATACTTACCACCTTGGGGTAGACTTGGACGGAGCCGAAAAATGTAGGGATGAAACCGAGAGGACAGCAACAAGATGTCCCAGTGCCTCTTTGTGGGTTCGAAGAGAACACACTGAAAACAAAGGGCATTGGAGCAACCCGGGATGTTTAAAGCAGGCTAGAGATTTATAGCTCAGCTGGGACCACTCTCTGCCTTTGGGCTAGAAGGCTGTGTGCAGGAGCCTGGGCAAACCACGGGCACGTCCCCTGTCCCACTCATCAGCCTGTGCACAGTCCTCCTTGCAGACAAGCACAAGTTACGTGTCCCAAAGTGCTACTTTCCGTGGTGTCCCCAGCTCCCTGCCTTGGGAAATCTTTTAGGACATTTTGTCTGCAGAGTGAACCACGTGATGCTAGTTGTTCTCCAAAAACAAGGAGGGCATTTAGATCTCTTGTCAAGCGCTTACAGTATGCTTCTCTTTCTCTCATGCCTGGTGTTTTTATGTTAAAAGTTTTCTTTTTGACAAGGAGATGATAAAGACCATATCAGCTACAAGGCTGTGTGTGTGATGTTCAGGGGTGATCTAAACTTAAACTCAGTGGAAGCTTTGTGATGAGTTAGTCTGGATATTGGCCATAGCAACCAATTTATCAGGACTGTAATTAAACCTCTGTTATGCTCTGTGCTCTCGGAACACAGAGGCAAATGCAATCCTTGCCCTACATGTATTCTCCAATGAGAGCCAGTGTTAAGCATGGGTGGATGCTGGGTGTTTCGGAAGTGCCAGGTAAGGGTTCTGTTCTTTGGGTCCTCTGTAAATGTTTCATCCCAAACAGTTAATTCTCTCTTCTAGCACCTGACATTATTTCCTGTGTTGAAGCTGCTCCTTTTTAAGTGGGGGCCAAACCAAGGGGAGAAAAGCCTCTTTAGTGCACTTAAGTCCATGAGAATGGAGAAGAACCACTCGTAAGCTCTTGTAGAAGCTCTTTGATTTTGATGATCAGCTCTCTTAGGCATCCAGAACTGGGGTATAAGCTCTTTAGGGAAGCATTTTTTAGTGGAAGGATTTAAGTACTACTGGCTGATATGTCTGTTGGCAGGATCCCAAGAGCTGGCTGGAAGAGGCCTCTACTGCGAAGGAAATGCTGAAATAAGACTTTTAATTAACTTGCATGGCAGCTCCTTAAGGGCTGAGAAGACTCCACAGGGAAGAAGTGAGTGGGATGTAGCTAGGAGGAAATTCCTTGTTAGACTTGAGCTCTGAAAGTAAATGAATGAGCCTGGTTTTATCTAGGCATGGCTTAAATAACATTGCATCTGGGCATTGTTTTACTCAGACAAGACCGGAAAGGGACAGTGTTCTCTCAATCGTTGCTATGAAATACTGTGGAAAAGACAATAGAATGCTTATCGGACTTAGAGGATTTTTCTTTTTCACCTCTAAACAGCTTTACCAACTACTGGAAATAAAAGGAAAGGCTGAAATGTGTGAATATGAACGTAATTCTTGGTGGTTTCAGGTCTTAGTGAAGGCCAAATAGGGCTGCCTTTATTCTTTGTTTCCATGGTCAGCCCAGCATACTGCATGACTGAACTCCAGGTTCTTGGCTTCAGGCTACGCTTTTGCAGCTTTGACTTCAGCAGAGGCCATGGTTGATCTTGGATCTGGGCCATTTCAAGGTCTTTGTTGTTGGTATGGCACTGAAAGGCACCATCACTTTGTTAAATATAAGACAGTACTAGAAGTCCCTTAGGCCAGTCCTGCTGACAGTCTAGCCCAACCTATTACCCTTTCACCAGCTAACTGGGTCAAGGCACCCTGTATCTGTAGTTAT